TTTTGCTCGACAATCTTCACAAGGCTATCAATATTCCTGTTGCTACAGGGTTGACCTTTCCAACTTTTTATCAAAATCCATTGGAAAATGCATTATGAACAATTACCATATTTAGCAAAGACCTTTCATTGCTTACTCTCCTTATGAAAGAGTTAGCAAAGAAATGTCTTCAAGACAGGTGTCAAGTCATCAGTCTTTCACGGGTTTTTGTAGGCCATCTGTTTTTATCTTTACATGAAGAGCTTTTATTAAAATATATTATAAATAATATTCTAATTTTCTGATACACTAAATCTTATGTTTTCTTTTTTTTGGTAGGTTGTTCAAGGATGAGGTCTTGACCCTTTGGGTTTATTTCTTTTATGTTAATATATTTCATATTAGATTGATTTTTATTTTGTGTGCTGCAATCAATAAATAATGTGATTTTTACTTATTTTGTTTTTGTGAACTGGTTAATTGATGACTATATGCTCAGCTCCTATAAATCTGTGGCATTGCTTTTCAACATAAAGAACACTGCACTGCTGACTCACTAGGAGACAGCCTTTTTTCTAGCAAAGGTCAGCTATCGTTTTGATGGTAAGATGGGTAAAGGAATCGGGTCCCCATCTGCTGCCCCTCTGCATCGAAGGAAGTCAGTTGAGTTGGCCCAGGTATTGGATACTGCCTGGGAAATTCCCTCAGGAGGTTTTTTCAGACATGTCCCATTGGTGCTTTTCTCAGGTCACATTCCCTCTTGACCTGGGAATAAATTAGGGTTATTATTTAATTAGGGGCTGGATTGTGTTAATCAGTAGGATCCTTTCTTTCTCTTTTGAGCTGTTACCTTTAGAAGCCGATCGTGGATACGCAAAGGGTTAATAGATGGCTGGTTGGATGTTTTGTTTTCTAATGCCACCTTAGTAAAGATCAATCATTTAGATAAAAACAAAACATATTACATTATGTTTTCTGTGACATGTCTATTCTGAAATATGTTCGATATAAGAAATTTAAACCGATATTTGGACACTTGTCCATTTTTAGGTGATTATTTAGCTTTTATTGTTTAAGATATAATATATTTTAAGTTATCAATAAAGAGATTATTTAACTTTTTTGTGGCAGTCAGGAAGCAAAGTGATAAAAGAAAGCAAGAAGTTATAGATTTACTCACTATGAATTGCACTTCTGCTCAACGTTTTGGCATTTTCAAATGCTTGGCATGACATGAGGCCACCATCCTCCCTGGCTAATTCATGGAAGAGTGTTCAAACATTTCTGACAAGAAGAAGTCAGTGACCTTTAAGCTGGAAATGCTCTGCTGGTGTTGCGTCCTCGCTGTCATTTTTCATCAGAACCGGAGGTGCAGAGCTGAGACACATCCTTTAGTGGAGGTGAGTATAAAATGCCAGTCTGTCAGCTCCTGTCTGATCTTCAAGGCACACTGTGCTTTGTGTATTACACTAGCCTATAATCAGCTCTCTGATCAGCTTGGTTTAAACCAATCCTCAGTNTGCGGAATTTTAGTAAAAGAAAATAATCTTCCAGTGGATTTTCCTTTATGTGGTGCCCTTTTCCAAATGTCTTGCCACGTCGGTAGATCATTTAACTTGTGAATGAGCTCAAATGCATTCAATCCTTGACAGAACATATTTCTTCTAGCAGTTTCATGCAATATTCCTTTCATTACTAATTGATAAGTGACCTGAGTGTCTGGAAACTGCCAGTAATAATATCAGGAATTTCTTTGCATTATTTATTCATGTCTGACCCCAGTCTGGCAATGAAAGGCAAAATGAGAGCATCAATCAGTTTTACATTAGGATTTTTCATAAAGGAGTGCAGAAGGTGAAATCTGAGGAGCTTTTCTGTCTCCTTTGTGAAAAGCAATTAATAAACTGACCAGCTGAATTATTTCTATAATGATATAAATGATTGATGCATGGTGAAAGCCTTTATAAGACCATATTAGTAAAATCTAAAATCAATAGCACAAGTGAGCAATTTAGTTGCAGTCCTATTAATTGATGGCCTTAATGTTGCAATTATAAAATTTGTTTTTTTGTTCTTTTTATTAATGAATTAGCTCCAAAAATTGTAGTTAACTGTGGTCTATTACTAACCTACACAGGGTCAAAATTGTGAATAAAGCCTCTGCCTCAAAAGATATACAGTATATATATATATATATATATATATATATATATATATATATATATATATATATATATATATATATATATATATATACCTCCACAGATATGCATATACAGTATGCATTGTGGAGTAACTGCAGGCCTACTTCAGTGACGCTAGAAAGTTTTCTTAGCATGGATTTCACTTTCAAACATTAATAAAAAGTTCATCAAGGTTTGCTATTATTGTCCTGATGGAACACTAAATTTACCATTGAGGCCTGTGCTGGTAATGCATGGAGACCTTGTCAACACTATAATCACCGTCCAAAGTTAAACAATTTTACGCCACCATAAATGGAGAGGATTTGTAAAGTAGCCCTGGCTAATCACAATCTTTGTCTCAAAGGACAAATAATGCAGATAAAAAAGACAAATGTATCTAGCCACAATATCAGCACTTAAAGAAATTAAACTAGGGACATTTCACTGTCAGTTACCAGTGCATTACTTTGTGTGGAGGATTAAAAAATTGTGATTTTTTTCCAAATTTCCCTGAAATCAGCCGTTACAATGGAATGTTTCAAGATAGTATGATCCAAACTCACACAAAACAATGCATAAAAAAGCATACCATTAAACCTGTAGAATAACATAACAGGCTAACAGAACTACGACCCCCCCTATCAAAGTTGGACTATTTTAATACTTCACTATCAGGAAGTCCACACACTGTAGTTAAAAGCCTCCAGCTGATCTACAATGATGCAGCCTGATTAAAATTAAAAAGATCATATTTCTCCTATCCCAGCTTAACGTCCTTTGCCTCCTTTTAAATCCAGAATAAAATTTTAAATCCTCTTTCTTACGTATAAAGCCTTAAATAGCCAAGCTTTGTCTTTTACCAGAGATCTGATTGTACCTTATATCCCTAACAGATAACTTCACTCTCAATCTGCATGTTTATTTGTGCTCCCTTAAGTAGAATGGGAGGCAGATCTTTTCAGGCTCCTCTCATGTGGAACCAACTTCCAGTCTTAGTCCGTGGGGCAGACATCCTGTCTACTTTTAAGGCTATGCTTTAAATGTTCCTTTTTGATAAAGCTTGTAGTTAGAGTGGCTCAGGTTATACTGAGCTATCTCTATAGTTTTGCTGATATAGGCTTAGACTGCTGGAGGATATAGGGACCTCTTTTCATCATTGTGCTTCATTGACCTCTATTCTCCCATTCTGCAGTATGGGTTAGTTCAACCTCTAACTCTATGCTCTCTCTGCTTTTATATCATCATAGTGGCTTCATCTGGTCTGTTCCTGTTTGGCTGTGACACCATCCTGGAGAGAAATATCAGCTGGACTGCTGCCAAGCAGCTGGTTTTCCTTAGATAAACATTATGAACCAATCTGGTTAAATGGTCTGGTTGAATTATCTCTGTAAAGTGCCTTGAGATGACATGTGCTGTGATTAGCGCTATATAAATAAACTGAACTGAAAATTGAATTGAAAATTAGAATTATTGAACATTCACGGACTTTATTATAAGGTTAAAAAAATTTTTTCTTTAAACCCCAAACTATATGTATGATTTTTGTGCGTTTTTGTAGAAATGAACAGTCAGGCTAAAAATGTTTACCCTTCTCTTGCTTTGAAAATTAGTTTAGGTTCACCATTTCATCCTGAAAACAGAGGGATTTAAACCGAAATGACACATAAACACCATAAAAGAACTGTAACAGCGATGTACTGCGAGGTTACACACCAAATAACAGTCAAACGAATAAAAAGAAATTAAAATGAGCACAGGCAGCTTAGAAATAGGAAAGGTAAAGACATACTATTTGAAAACATGATAAGAGAATATAATTTTATTTTTACTGCAGCTGTAACAGACACTACGACACCCAGATACAATCTCTTATCTTTAAATAATTCCATTCCAACATTCTCATTGACAAGTGGTTAGATGACACATAAGTGGTTTTTGTGTGTGCTAGTGAGAAGCAAGTATTTACTTTATGAGTTTGATTAGTTATACAAATCTTGCTCACAAACTCCTGGATGAAGACCCACATCTGCTGAAAACCTAAGTAATTAAGTTTCCCAGGTTCTCCTCTAGAGTCGTCATCAGGGGAAAAAAATTAGACTCTAAAGAAATTACAGATCTATTTTTATCAGAACAGGAAACCTTATTCGAAAAACACATCACAGCCTAATTAGGCTGCTGGTCCAGCAGTATATTTTTCTCTCCCACAGTGGACAACAAATATATAAAATGAAAGTATGAAATAGAATCAAAGTACCATAAAAGTTGGCAGTACTACAGTATGTAACAGCTTGTACATTCCTGAACTTAGCGGTTAGTTCACTTTAACAAAATTTACTTGTTAATTTCTCAAAACCAAGAAAATACTTACCTAAAACTCGTTACTCTCCAGAACATAACAGAAACCTTTCTGAAATTTAGAGGTTACTTTTTTGAGCTTGCAAGGTACTTCCATTGAAAGTACCTGGTAACTAGGTAACCAAGAAAGTGAAAGAAAAACTACCCATAAAAAAAACATAGGGACTTGGCAAATGCCCCATGAAGAAAGTAAATAAGTTCCAAGAGGATAGCTAGTGATTTCCAGAATGTAACCTCTAAGTTTAAGGAAAGTATCCTCTAAGTTTTAGGAAAGTAACCTGTTTATTTCATAAAAATTTCAGGAAACCGAATTCCAAGTTCCAAAAAAGTGAATGCTGTAAATATGTAGTGTCACTTAGAAGTACGCGAAGAAAATAACAAAATCGCACATTTAATATTTTAGAGATTTGATATTGGATTATTTTTCAAATAAAATAAATAATAAAGAAATTCAAAGTGACAAAAAAGGAGGTTTTCTAAAAAAAAAAATAAAAAAAAACATCATGTCAAAGTGCAAAGATCGGAATATTGGTAACTTTTGAGGAAATGAAAACCAAATAAATATACTAACAAACACATTATTTAGAGTAATTGAAATGTGAAGCCTGTTCAGTTAGCATGGTAAAGAGATTTCATTGCAGCATACACTGTCCTGTTGTATCTCATGGTTATAAATGCCACTGAGAAAATCAGACAGATTTCAAACACTGTTATGTAACCATAAGTGTTAGTAATGGACTCAAAGGATTTAGAAGGAAATCTTAAATTCTTCTTTTTGAAGTATGTGTCTGAGCTACATGAGCCATAGTGCACAAACAAAAAGTGGCTAATAAAAAGACAATGTCTGATACTAATCTATTTTTTAGGTGATTCCACTCAGAATTTGCTGAGGGATGGCAGCGCTCCTGCCTTTACAAGCACAGCTGAGAACAGGTCTGTCGGACCAGTTGTGTGAATCACTGCAGTGGGAGAAGGATCTGCATTCTTATTTTCAGAGTTTGCAGGTATGGGAATCTTCCCTCTGTTTAGTGCTGGTTTGCCAGCCCCACTGCCTCCGCCCACACTGGACTTGCTGTTTTCCACTGTGGGAATAATTGTTCCTAAGTTTGGATGACCTGCTGCAGGTATCCCAGATTGTTCCATACTGGTGTTAGAGCAGCACAGCAATCGAAAAAATGCTGATCTCATTTCCCTGCTGGACAGGGTATATATCAGAGGGTTAAGAGCAGAGTTAAGCACGGCCAGGGCGATGAACCAGTCCACCTCGTACAGGACCGGGCACTTATCCGGACTGCAACCAACATCGAGCAGGAGGAGGAAGAATAAGGGGGCCCAGCACATTACAAACAGTCCAAGAACAATCACAACCGTCCGCAGAAGTGCCAGAGAGCACTCTGAGGGCCGGCTGCTCACCCTACGGCCGCTGGAGGTCACCAGGCGATAAATCTTGATGTAGAGGATGATGATAGCAACCAAAAGTGCACTAAATACACTAATGCAGAAGGCAATGTAACTCTTAGCATACAAAGGCAGCACTGTAGAGCAGGAAGACAGATCTTTCAGGCAGTTCCAGCCTAGACTTGGGAGGGCACTAAGGAGTACTGATACAACCCAACAGGCTGCCAGCAGAGCCAGTAGTCTCCCTCGACCGGCTGTTTCACAGGGCCGCAGGCGCACCATGGTCATGTGCCTCTCAATGCCGATAGCCAGAAGGCTGAAAGTGGAGGCGCTGAGGGCCACAAACATGCTCCCTTCTCTGGCCAGCCACTGTGCCGGCGTCAAGTAATACGTCTTACTCCCTGAAGTAAAGATGTTGACTACATAGGCCACACCAGCCAGGAGGTCAGACAGCGCCAAGTTGCCAATGAGCAAGTACATACGACTGTGGAAACGCTTGTTCCTCCAGAGAGCAAGCAGAACGGTGATGTTCTCCAAAACAATGAGCACGCAGATAAAGAGCAGAACCACTGTCTTGCAGGTGCCCACACCTCGAGGCCGGTCCCACTTCCCTGAGTGGTTATAGTGCTTAACAATGATGGTGTTCATCCCTTCCTTGATCAGGTTCCCCATCCTGGCTTTCCCAATTCTGAACTTTCCCCAGCCACACAGCAGAGGGCGTCACTGCACTGGTATAGAGGAACTGCTCAACCTGGCAGTGTTTCTGCAGCCATCACATTTCAGCCCTGCCAATCAGATGAGTAATAGAAAAGGGTTATTACAAACAGATATATATATAAAAAAAGAAAAAATGTGAATTAATTAAAGGAAAATTTGTGAATCAATACTATTGAAAAGTTTATCACTAATTCAAGCCTTTAAATTACCACCACAGCCTAAGTCTAGGGTAATAGTACAATATTGAAAGCTGGCCTTTAGAAATTAGATATAGAAAGTAAAAAACAGAAAAAGCTATGAAACTGAAAAAAGTAAAGCCTCAGACAGCCAACTGCCTACTGACTTTTCCTGTCCTCGCTTTATTTTTAGAACTTTATTTATTGAATCATCATTGAAACTAAGTGAGGGTTAAAAAAGACAAAACTCTTTCAAAACAGATTTTTTTCAGTGTTAATATACCTTATACATGTCGTAGATCTATATCCCTCTGAGTAAAGGTAACTGCTTAAATCAAGATGTTTTGTTTTTTTTCTTGCAGAGGAAAAAACTCCACTTCTCTAACTTTTCCAACCTAATAAAAGTTTTAATAACTTATCTGACTTGGTCTGCACACATGTAACATAATCACATATAATAGCATAGATGTATCTATATTTGTTTCCGCTTCATCTTTTTAACAACAGGCTTACCTTTTTTAATGACTTGATTTTCCCTGAACATCGCAGCAGAGTAAGAAGGTTTGCAGGATGTGTGTCCCTAAAGATATACAGCTGCAGTAAAAGTAAGATTTCATAATGTAGAACTGGTCCAAAGTTAAGCCAAAAGTCCGTATTTTCAACGTATCCACTCAAAAGCGTTGTTTAATTCAGTTTATTTAAGAGAGGATCCACTGTGGGTTCTGCTGTGAACTCTTCTGGTCCGAATAACTCCTGAGTCCAGAGCTCTCCACTCACCCTCCTCCTCCCAGCTTCAGCTGAGGCGGGATCTTTTCAGGACCTTTATGTGGCACAAAAATCCTGCGTGTCAACCAGTAGTGTGTTAAAATGTACCTGTAAGTTTTTGGTTGAATATTTACATTTGAAAAGTCAGGCTGAGTTTGGTTGACTAAAGACTATTCTTGTTTCTGCCTAGACAAAGTTCAGATTACTGTTCATATTTCCCAGTGTGTCATGTAATTGCTACCATACCTGTCCCAACACATGTCAGTCCATTGCCCACGGATATTTTGCGCTCTGAAAGGTACTTTAAAAAAGGACTTGATATTGCAAAATCTGTTTGTTGTGTTTCCGAGTATCAATGTCATGTTTTAACTTGGCTTTTACCTTTAAGCTACTGGATTAATAAATTATTCATAAAGATATTGGCAGTTATTATTGATGTATGTGATATGGCCGTCTGCCCAGGGTGCAACCCTCCCTTAGGGTGCTTCAAGGCAAAACAGAATAAATAAAATACGTTCTTGTTTTTTTTTCCTTAAATGAAAATTAAAACCCTCTGCACCTTCACATTTTAAAACATATAAAACGTTTTGTTGTCTTGTTTGTTTTTCTAACATTCTAAACATTTGAGTTTAAATAAATGAACCTTAAACTACTCCAATACCAAATGGGTCTTATGGTCCTACAAATGTCCTTCAGCTGAATTCCAACTTTTGGGTCATTTTGAAGTTTGTTTATTTGATTAACTTATAAAAAACACCTTTTTTAGATACCAAACTCAGTCTTGTCAAATAGGGACAGGAGTACTCGTGGGTGTAGTATTGTGGGGAAAGTGGACCTGAATAGCCAGGGCCTAAGCAGGGAAAGGGGCCCATAAAAATTCTGTTTTGTTTTTGTTTATTTATGTTTTTATTTCAAATGAATTAGGCCCTCCAATTAATGGTGTTATACATTTGTTATACAAACAAAATATGTTTATAACATAATTTATGAGAATTAATGTTTTGTATTGTCTGCCCAACATATTGGATACTCCAGGCCCCCCCTTTTGAAGGTACAAAATGGTTTAGTCTGCCAGACAGGAAACTATGACAGGTAAAAAGTCAATTAACCCAGATTGAATAGCTCGAGGATATACATCATGTTACCCAAAAAAGCACAAATTGGGGTATCAATGGAAGAAAGAGAGGAAAGAAAAAGAAAGAAGGCAGAATGTTGGATGGTACTATAGATGTTGACTGCTTTGTTTTCTTTCCCAAAGGTGAACTGAGTTTGCTTGTTAAGCAAATTCCAGTCAAAGTTAACGTAGTCCACTCCACACAGCTGCTGTTGGTGTTTGGATGGTCTTATGAAGTTTTTAGCTTAGCTAGCTTCCAACTAAGCTCCTTGCAACTGTATGTAAAAAGACAATTATAGGATAGCTAACTTTAGTTTTAAAATGCAATCAATTTAAGAAATAAACAGTTATGCTGGCAAAGCCACAGCAGCTGTCCCTCCCGTTGGGCAACTTCTTTGGGTTTGTTAAGCTGCTTGGGTAAAGTAACAACAAAATGCCCTGTGCACCATAGAAACAGGAACATATGGAGCCTTCGTAAATTCATCTTCCCTCTGGGTCAGGCTGCGGCTCCATCACTTTGATATAGTAACAGCACCACGACTCTCACCTTAGGAACCCACAGGTTTGACGTTTACCGCTGCACCTGCTGGATCAGGCTGGAGAGCAAATAAAACAAATATCCTGCTGAACCAACCACAACTGCTAAAAAGGGTTCAGACTATAACATTTTTTACTCAAATCTTTCCAAGCATGTCACCCAAGCAGAAGCCTATGAATAGGAACAATTGGTCTGCAACATTTGAACAATCATACGTACAACAAAAAGACAGTGTCCCTTGGAGGGGCATCATTGAGAGAAGGAGAACCCCAGCTCAGAACCTGAGTGATGTTTTATAATTGGACTTCCATACCAGACATGGGCAATGTGGAGTCAACAAGTCATCTCCATGTCATGTATTTAATCTACCCAGCCAATTAACCAGGTGAGTCCAATCTGCACAGGTTAATTCACGGTGAAGATTGGACTCACCTGCTTCAGTGGCTGGGTAGAACAAATACATGACATGGAGATGACTTGTTGACTCCACATTGCCCATGTCTGTTCCATACAACTCATGGATTTTCCATAATGAACACCATGTTCAGGCATAAAAATGCCCATCTGTACACTTTGCCCCAGGACAAGTTCGATGATAAACTTGGTAGTCGAATCTTCCAACCTTCAGCTGCACATCTTGGGCACAAGATAATGTAAGCAACATTATGTGGGTCGTAGTGTAAAAAATAAAACACTGAAATACATCGTTCTTTTAAGATCTTTATTGCGGTTTAAAACATATCATTTGAGTGTATTTTTTACCAACCTTCTAATGAACTATACACAGTTATTAACATAGTAATTAAAAGTACCACTGTCTGATTTGCTATTGGTGTCATTTTTAAATGGCTCACCATCATGTTGAAATCTGGCATGTGTTGGGGTATAAATGAGGTCCGTTCAGTCATCCTAATATCAGGTGGGTTTAAGAGGAATTTTTCGCACCATTACATCTGCAAAGAGACGTCCTAGTTCACAATTGCGTAGGGGGCCCCTAAGAGGTCGGGGGCCCCTAAGCAACTGCAGTCTCTGCTTACCGATTGTCTCTGCTTGGGCACCTGGGTGAAGAGAGGAGTTGAGCTATCCACTGATCACCCCCTGGTGATGAACAGTAATTGATGGATGAGGAGGAAGTCACAGACCTGGTAGGCCCAAGCGAGTACTGAGGTTCTCCTAGAACATCTGCTAGAGCCCTTGGTCAGGATGGTATTCTATTCCTACCTCTGGCACAGCTTGGAAAATGTTGACTTGTCCCCTTCAGGTTGGAGGAGAGTTCGTGCCTCAAGTGGAGGACAAAGCTCTAGATTTACAGGTCAGTCTATGTTTCAACCTTTACCTCTGGTCATGAAATCTGGATCATGACTGAAATAAAGAGATGCAAGCGGCTGAACTGAGCTTTCTCAGCATGGTGGCTGGGCACTACTTTAGAGAAAGGGTGAGGAGCACAGACATCCGGGAGAGGCTCAGAAAATAACTGTTTCTCGTCCTCACCCAGAAGAGTCTGCTGAGGTACCTTGGACACCTTTTTTGGTTTTCCCCCAGGATGACTCCCTTGGAATACATTTCAGGCACATCACACCAGGAGGAGGCCAAGGGTCAAAACCAGGACACGCTTCAGGTACTTTGTCTCTCGGCTGGCCTTAGGGGCGTCGGGCTCTGTCTGGAAAAAGGGAATTCTAGAAGTATCTGCTTACACTGCGGCCCCTGCGACCTTGTCCCAACAAAGTGCAAGACAATGACCATACAATTTGTAGGTACGACTTAATTCAATGTTTCAAAAGTGACAACTTTAGCAATGATGTTAAATAAGGAAAGTTACATGATTAGATACATCTGATTATTTTTAAAAGGACTTTTGATTACCGGTTTGTTTTATTTTTTGTTTCACAAAGTGTGGGGCGGTGATCTTTGTTTGGACTCGATTTCGCCCATTGCCGGTCTTTGTCTCAAATGAAATAACTGCTCATCAATATAATCAGATCTGATTGTAGCTTGAAAGCCTAGCTATGCTTTTTGTTTTAAACAGATACCTTTTGTTACTCTTCTTGTTCAGGCACTTTGTGTAGCAGCATGCAACGAGGCACCACTGATTAAAAGATGCCATTACACCTATTATTTGAATCTATATCTACTTGTGTAAGTCAGTAGTTCTTAATCTTGGTCCTGAGGTACCACTGCTCTGCATGTTTTTGATAACTCTCTGCTGCACCACATCTGCTACATATGATTGCATGACCTCCTCAGCAGCTATCAATTGCTGCAGAAATTCGTTAATCATTCCTTCATATACCGTAATTCAGGTGTGTTGAAGCAAGAATACACCAAAGACTTGCAGGACAGTGGTACTTGAGGACTAGGATTGGGTAGGTCTACCATAATTTTAAGTGATCAGTCCAGGTCATGTAGATTTTTAATCACTAATTTTTGTCATTTTTGTTGTTATAATTTGAGCAATAGTGGACAGATTTATCTGATAAAAGAAATTGATTTATACAACAAATGAAATGACCAAACAAGTTTAAAAGCTATAAGAGTGTTTAAACCTATATGCGGAATATGACTTTCCTTACATTTGTTTCCTCGCTCCTCTTAGACATTAATCGTTTCCATGAACTTGTAACCTAAGAAGTTGCTCTCCATTATTTCTCTGGTACGATGAGTTGTTGTTTGTTTCTTGTTCAAATAAAGGATTTCTTGGTCCCTTTGGTACTTAATAGTGTGAGATAGGTCTGACCTCTTCAGCTGAAGCCAACTGAAAAGGATGGGAGAGGAGCTATTCATGTTTTTCCTTTTATGTACTTTTAGAGACAGAATTGTCTGCAAAAACATGGAATCAGAAAATAGGTCACTGATGTTTTCTGAAATTTTGCTGTGGATTGTTGTTCAAGAATCAACACTAAGTAGGCTGTTGAAAGGAATACATTGAAAATATTTGTTTTACTGCATAATATACAAATAGTTGTAGTTTAACTTAAATCCCAGGGGACTTCTATAGAAGAGAAGACAAAGATCACATGCATGTAGGTGTGCCTGAAGTAAGTAGAATGTGTGTTATAAGGATTACAAATATTCAAGTGATAACCAACCTCGAGTTGCAGGATAAAAGTAAAGGATACATCAAAAGTTTCCATTGGTTAATGGACGACACAGAGACATGAATGTCTGACCCATAAGCCAGTGCTGCTTGTCCGATTAAAGCTTAAATGGTGGACTCTTGTGAAAGTTAGATCTGCTCCATGTAACTTGTTTTAGAAGAGAGAAACAGAGAACGATCAACAAACATTGACTTGGATTATAACAACAAGGAGAAACCTCAGATGATAGTCTTCACTGGTGTTTTTGAAGCACTGTGGTCTTATGAGCTGCT